AAAAATGGGACTTTCAATAATCCTTCTAGTGGAAGCATTTAATCTCTTGAAGGGAATATCAAATCTTTTAACAGGTAATGTTTTCACATCATTATACCCAAATCGAAAGTAATTAACAAAAGCTTGTATGATCCCTTTCTGATGTTTTAGAACCGAATTTTGAACCTTTAATTTCAGAATATGATTAATTCTTCCTCTTGATGCAGCTGTATGATGAAATAATTTTGTATTTTTATCTCCTTCTTTAAACCACCTAAGTCTGGATTTTTGTAGCCACTTTTGTTCTTCTTTCCTCATAACTGCCCATAGCTTTGTCTTCATTGACACAACCTTGTATTGAACTAAACTATTGTTGGAATTCGATATGCACATATTTTCTAAAACATCTATATTTTTTCCAATCTCTTCAACAGAATCTAAATTCTTCGCTCGGACTACCCTCTCCCATTCCTTGGTCACAAATTTGGACAACATCAAAATATGATTCATACCTTTGCCTTGGTTAGAATCACATAAAACCTTGATTTTATCAAAGAGAATATGGTCATCAACACAATGATTGAACCATTTGAAAGGCCGAAAAAGCTTTTTTGTATTTCTTTTCTTTTAGAATAACATGTTTATGATCATATAAACTTCTAGGAAGGATGACTTGCATCAATTGAGGGAACATACATGCAATATCTGTTGAAATCAAGATTTTATCCAGCCTACTCACAACCTCATTCAAACCTCTCTTGAACCATGTAAAAGTACTTCCTGAAATTGGAACATCAATCAAATCCCATCTTGAAATGAAGTCTTCAAAAATTCTCATTGCAGTCGAATGATCATGTACCCCTGCTCTTTCTGATACTCTGACTATGTTGAAATCTCCACCCATAATAATAGGAAAATTCAAGTTTGCAATGACATCATTTAGTTGATCAAAAAATTCCAATCTTTCACATTGAGCATTCGAGCCATACACATTAATTAAACATATCTCCATATTATTCTACACTAGTAAACCTTTTAAAGCCACAATTCTCCTATGAACTATTTTTCTTCTCACATTTAACACATTTAGATCCCACACATTGTATTAAGTATTCCTGAAGCACGATCAGCAGGCGCAAAAAACATCTCCATACATATCTTACCTTTTAACCTTCTTTCAATACAAACAGAAATTTCAGATACTTTTGTTTCCTGTAACATAACAACATTTGCTTTATTTGATTCAATTACCCGACTAATAGCTCTTAATTTTTCATTTTCCCCATACCTCTAACATTCCATGACAACATAGATATACCCATACTCATAAAATTAAAGAACACACAGATATATAATTCAAACACTGATCTGAAACGACTTCAAAGCACCCGATAACTCAATCAACTCCAATCTCTCAAGCACCTCCTTCCTCGATGCTGAAAATTCCACTCCCAAAGCCTCCCCGGTTGCTAAGGACGCCTCGCTTCATTAACTAAACCCGTATGGCAGCCTGAATTTTCCCCATCATGGAATCCACTTTGGTTCATAAGACCACTTGAATTTTACAGCACACACCGGCCTTTCACGCTCATCGTTTTCCCCTTGAAGTTGTTATTTTTCTTAGGATTTCGAACACTTACCCGATTCACCCCCTTTTTGATGGGTTTGATTTTATTACCCTCAAATAAAATGAGAAAGACTTCACTTTCCTTCAAAGAATTTTCATTTTTGTCAGCACGTGTTTCAACCATATAAACCTCATTCATTGCTTTAAAAGAAGACACCTCTTCAATTGGCACTTCCTGTAGTCTTGAGCTATTGGATATTGATCGAGTCACCCAAAATTGGTCTGATTCTCTATTTATTTCCATCAGCCCAAAGCTCTCATTCGTTGTCCTTTGCATGCAACATTCTGACAGGCGACGTTTCGCTATCCATAACACTCCTCTGACTCAACGAATCAGTCTGCACAACATCATTAAGAACTTTTTCGGGACCAAAACCTTCGATAAATTCATCTTCGAAAACTAGAACATCCAACGCTTCGTCCTCTACTGATGGCCAAGCTCCACCACCGACCAAGGAACCATCAATAAAAACTCGAACATCTTCCTGGACTTCTGTTTGAATTTTTATATTGTAAACACTTCCATTGATAATGATGGAAACTTTCTCTGGAATAGACGATTCAAACTGGACTTCCATCAGTATCCTTGCTACATCAAACCTATCCTGATTGCTAGTTTCTTCATCGATCATTAGAACTTTACCCCACAAACTTCCTATATCCTTACGAAAATTACCACTCCATACTATAAGAGGCACATCCTTCATGATAACCCAGACTTGCATTTTGATTATGTTCTCATAACCTTCCATTAGTTCTAGCTCATCAAACCAAAGTCGAACCAATTCATCTATTCTTAACCAACAAACCTGACGATCCTTTTCTTTCTTGAACTGGATAACCACCAAAAGCGCATGCCAAAGACTTACCTTCACATCGAAACTTTCTGATCTAAAGGATGTTTGGATTATTTCTTCATTATACATATTTTTTATTTTTCCAACCAAACAACTCTCTCTCCACGATATCTCCTTATTTGGAATAACTATGTTCCTACTGTTTGACCCTCTAATTGGATTTGGACTTGAACCTATATCCTCTGCAAAATTAATATGAACAACATTTTCGGACCCAATTATTTAAAAGACTGTTGAATATCCCCAGTTTCTTGTGACTTTCCATCTGCTTCCTGCAAACCTCCAAGAGCATCCTTAAAAGACCTGGAATCCCTCAAAGATGGCCTCCACACCTTTTTAATCGATCTAACAGCCTCGACCTTCTTATATTTTGTCTCTGACATTTTATCATGAAAAAATATGATCCTGAAACCATCCATCATCCTATCATCCGCCCTGCGAACCGTTGTATTTGCTTCAGACTTGCTTTTAAATCTTACAAAAGCAAATGTAGATCCAACTGATTGTCTTTTGCTGCTTCTGTACGCAATGAAAACATCGACCACTTTTTCGTACAACTGAAACACATCCTTTAGGGTTGACGAGTGAATCCTTTTGATCACATTGTCGACAAAGACGGAATACCACTTAGAAACCCGAGCAGAATTCTCTACTACTCCATACCTCCCTGAAGCTCTCTGACTGGAAGTTGCCATTGAAAATCGATTTGCTCGTTTTGTTGGAAACTTATAAAATGATTTTTGCTGCTATGATTATTTCTCCTTCAAGTTTGATTTATGTCTGTGATTCTAGCCCTATAAAAAGCTCATAAGATATAAGCAATTGAATCTTCTCCCTTGTACTGTTATTTGCTTTCTTTTGCTTATATCTTCTTCCTACCACAAATTCTATAATTTTTTAACGCATTCATGTACGACTGTTTACGCACTTTTTATATACTTAAGCCTAATAATTGACAATTCGTCAAACAGTTGGGTTTCTTCGAGTACCCCTTCTATTACCACGGACTTTTTCATAATGATTTTTTGATCAACTTTTGTAGACGATTCATCCAGCTCATGAACGATCTCAATGTATGTCTTTTATTATTTCCCCATTAATCATATTTCCATTCTATACACCAACGATCCAACAATTTATCAACATTAGAATCCAATTCCGCAAACATTTCAACCAATTGTTCAAAAGGATTCATACACACGGTGTTAACACTTTATTATTTAACTCTAAACTAAAACACAGTGTAACATACACTATTACCTAGGGATGTTAAAAAATACTCGACTCGGTTGATCCGACCCACCGACCTGAACCTAAAAAAACGGGTAATTATCTAAAAAAAAATTACCCGACCCATGATTTTTCTTGGATAGTTGGACCAGGTCTTGGCCGGAATTTTTCTATATCCTGATACCCGACCGACCCAATAATATATATATATTTTAAATTATATTTTTATTTTAGGTTCTTAATATTTTTTTTACCTTAAAATTAAATTCAAATCCTTAATTTTTTTTCCTTAGATTTGTATTATGTACTTTTAAGTTTTAATTTTTACAAAAACTTTTATTAATTTGTCAACATGAGATTCGAAAAAAAAATAATGATTGATATTAATAACTTTAATTTTTTTTCCTTCGGGAATTAAAATTCAATATATATTCCTTAAAACTTGCTTCAAATCACTAATTTTTGTGTATGAATTATGTATAATGAACCTTTAAATTTTTTTTATGTATTTTCTATGTTTTTTTAATATTAAATTAAAAAATATAGATAAATCGGATATTAGTGACCCGAAAACGCGAGTACCCGACTTTTACGGTTACTCGAACGTAATGGGTCAGGTCAGATGCCAACAAATATACTATCTGAAGAACCGGGTTCCTGGTACTTCGAGTACACGAAATATACTACTCGGAGAACGGGGTACCTAATACTTCGGGTACACGGAAATGTAGGTATCCGGTTTTGAAAACCCCTGCTATTACCTGTTAAATACAACAAGAATTAACATATAACATCATACACATAAAAACCACGTTTCTAACATCAACATAGAACACATCAAGTGATCTCAGTGGTTAATAAGAGTATTGTTCTTTATTGAGGTCTTGGGTTGAGCAGCTTCGTCTGCATGATATACGTACGTTATTAGTGGTTGAGAAAGATTTTGAACTGACACCGATACTTAAACCTGGGTTTAATCCGTCCATAGTTGAAACTCACTAATTGCTCTTCTAATCTCTAAAATGCCCAGAATCTTCACCGGGCACTGCCAGAATCTTGCAATATCTGAAGGTCTGATTCCTTGGACCTGCAAAGTGTTGCAACCAAGACTTCTAAGGCATGGAAGCACGTGGGAGGGATGTCAATAGAAGAGGGCCAATGGGTTTTCAACTTGCCCCTGCCTGTCATAATTTATGATAGAATATTCTGTATGGAAGAAGTATAATTAGCTCAAGAAAATACGATCTTATAAACCCTCTTCCGAAGAAGAAATAGATGGAGAGGGCCTCTAAAATGAAATTCATAACCATTTCTATCGTCTTATCCTTTTTTCTTTTTTGGTTTATGTTTACATATGATAACAGTACATAGAACAAGGCCAAAAGCTCAAACCCCAATCTATCACAACTAATTAAAACTAACAGTACAGTTCCAAATGTCTCAACTTTTTACCAGGAAGAACATACAAAATTGTTACAAGCCTCCGCCAGCAGCCCGTAGAAATGACGACATAAAAGTGTCATTTTAACAGGTTTCAAATGTCCAGTCGAACACTTGTGCTGGCACCAAAAAAACCCGGATGGATACCACATACAGCAGCAATCAGAACTCTTCTCTCATTTGCCTAAATAATATTACTAAATCACACTTAGGCCTCTCAAATGAAAGAGCTGCCTAAGATAGTAATTAATCTTATTACTTCTTCCGTTGCCTGCGAGCTTTCACATATTTTCTGCCAGACTTGTCACCACCACTGGTGCCTAATGAGAAGCTCCCTTCAGCACCTAATTCCAGACTACCAGAAGCCAGAAATGGAGATGGATTCTGTGGTGCAGCTATGCTTGGTTGGCTTCCAAATTGAAAAGATCCTCCTAGTCCAGATGGATTTGAAGAACCAAAAATGAACCCAGAAGCAGGGGGTGAGATTTCCTGTTGAAATGGTGCAACAGTTGGTGAAGCCTGAACTGTGTCCTCTGCCATACTATCTTCCATTTGATCATTATGAGTAGAGGGTGTTGACCCAAACACCAACCTGGAACTAGTATTACCAAAGACATGCTGTGATGTTGTAGCTGCTACAGCTGAAGTGAATGAAAATATGGAACTTGAAGAGGCACCAGTGGAAGACCCAAAGACAGAAGGTGCACTGCTAGGAGCACTAACAGAAGGTGATGATCCAAAGGAAAATCCCGATGACGAAGAACCAAATATGGGTGTCTTAGGGGCTTGCCAATTCGAACCAAATGCACCAGATGTAATGCCACTGCTAGAGCTCAGAGTGTTCGTTTCTGAAGAGGAAGAACTTGATTCAAAGGTGGCACCAGAACAAAAAGGTTTAGTATTAGATGCCGATGACCCAAACATTGAACTGCCAGAAAAGAAGGTTGTATTCCCACCCAATCCAAAGGATGGAGATGATGCGGATGAAGAGAACTGAATGGGCATACTTTGAGTTGAGCTACCAATGCCAGTTCCCACAGATGATGCTTGGGTATTAACAGCATTGAAAGGATTTAAACCTTGGGTCTGTGTAGTAGATGTAGATGCAGCTGGGGCACTAAATCCAAAGATGCTGCTTCCAGTGCTCATGACCGCAGATTTAGTGGAAAAGATTCCACTTCCCGTACCATCTATTGCTAAAGATGTACCACCAAAAGTACTACAGCCTGTGCCTGTAGTTGCAGGTGTACCACCAAAGATACCATTGCCTGTGCTGGTAGTTGATGTACCACCAAGGATACCATTTCCTATGCTGGTAGTTGCAGATGTACCACCAAGGATACCGTTGCCTGTGCTCGTCACTGTGGAAAATGTGTTGCTAAAAAAGCCACTTGCAGAGTTTGTAATGGCAGAAGATAAACCACTGAAACTGCTATTTCCAGTGCTTGCGACTTCAGCTGTTGTACCAGTAGTGTTGCTTGCAGCACTTTTAACTTCAGATGTACCACCAAAAATACTACTTCCAGAACTAGTAAAAGCAGATGCCCCACCAAACGGGAAGATCCCTACACTTCCAAGGCTTGTATCCTGGGTCTTAGATTTGGTTACTTCCCCTAAAGTTGCTGATAATGTTGAAACTGAAGTTGATGGGTCCCTAGAGGATGAAAACTTGAAAACAGGTGCAAAGGAATGGATTGAAGCCTCCGCAGAGGGGTTGCCAATACAGCTGATGGTGGCATTTGCAGTTGAACTTGCAGCGGTGGTAACAGCAACAGAAGCATCACTATTTGTGGCAGCTGCACTGGATGGAATTTGACCAACACTTGGAACACATAAAGGCGCAGGTGAAGCGAATGAAAAAGGGCTTGAAGCAAGAGACCCATTATTTAAGGTAGAACTATCTTTCGAGGCACCAAACTCGAAGATACTTCCAGCTGATGTCGAAGTAGATACAGAAGAGGTGATTGCAGCTTCAGGTTTCCTACAGAAGATCTCATTCAGATTGTTCTCCTTCTCAGTTTTATCTGACAAATGATTGGTTGTACCATGAGCAGTAGTAGCAAAGCTGAACATAAGACAACAAAGCTTTTTAAGAAGAGTACCCCAGGAGGAGGTATGAAAAACAAAACAAAAATCAAACCAGAAATATGTTACACTATAACAGTTAGTCAAATGGGCAATATACTCCAACAAGATTACAACAATAATTTATTTGACTAACAGTTGGCGTCTTGGATGCAAACAGATGGACACCAAATTCCAAGTACTAAAGTGTGAATTTTTAAACTTTAGGTGCTAAATTGAAATTTTGATTACACTTCTCGCGCATACTATCAGAACCTCACCCTGCTAAACTAATTATCAATGGACATAAAATCCCAAAATCAAAATCTACTATCTTAGATGTCTGCTATAGATTCTAACGATCCAAGGTCAACTAACACCGTCAACATAAGTTTTATAATAATAAAATTCAGTTATTATCAGCTTTAATCAATCTATGAAGAAGTTTCCCATTCTTTCTTCTTCCTATACCATTTAAAAGAAAGCAACATGATATGTGGAAATGTAAGAGTAAACAAAGAAGAAATTAGTACAGGAACAACTTCCCTTTACCTTCTTCGAGAATGAAGACGACTGAAAGAGTTTTTATACATGGTTGACATGAAATCATCATTAAAATCAAATTTGAAGGATAAAAAGAACCTTCCAAGGGAAGTTGAATAATAGATATATACCAACCTGCTTGAGTTCTCTAATTTTTTGTCTGAAATTGTGGCAAGCTTAACACCTGAAGATCCAGTAACCAAGGAAAAATCACCACCATGTGTAGAGGCAAAGCCATATGTAGTAACAGCAACATTTGATTGTTTTGCTGCCGAAACTTCCTCCCCAATTCTATGCATATAAGGAGCATTTGAGTGCGAAGAGATGGCCTCTTTATTGGCTGTTGGAGTTGACGGAGATACTACAAATGCTGACTGCACAGATGAAATGGCCATCTTAACAACTGGAAAAGTAATACCAGCATTCTTTTCGGTAGATGTGGATTCATCAGGTCTTTTCAAATCAGGTTTTTGACTGAAAGCAGCACTTGAAATGGGTTCAACTTCAGAAAGTCTAGAAGGCTTCTCTATAGCTTCAGAAGCTGCACTCTTAGTTCCCGTGACACATTTATCCAACCTCCCTCTCCCTTCAGCTTGTGTGGATCCATTAGGATAGTCATCATCATCATCCAGATAATCCTGTAACAGACACCATAAACACTAAGGTGTTAAAAATGGAAACAGAATAGGGGAAAAACTGAAGCTTATAATTATCCCTTCTCAATTCAAAAGGAAGCATTTAATAGCATTTGAAAGGCAAAACAAACAGGAGAAATGTTGATAATTAATAGCTGTATTCGATCTCCAATTTAACTCATACCTCATGTGCACTCATCTGAAAAGCCTGGCTCTTCAGTTGAGGTTGTTGTAGGACAGACTTGATCACACTAGAACCAGCAGCACTAACACTAGGCACATTATTGTCCTTCATTAAACTATTAGTACGTGCACCAGTTACAGCAGGAACAGACTTGTCAGGGAGACCAACCAACAATGTTGAGCCATTTTCTTTAACCATATCGTGTTTGTGAGAGATGGAGTCTTGAAAACCAGTCAGAGCAGTACAAGAACCATTCAATTCATCGTTATCATGCATGTTCTCCAGAAATTTTGAAGTATCTACAGTCTCGAGGCTTTTAAGAGCCTGCCCATGTAGCATAGATGGTAACAAATTAGTGGGTACTTTTTCCCCTGGGGAAACCGACATGTCCAGTTGTAAAATTTTTGAAGCCACCTGACTGGAATTGGATGGAACAGTGGTAAAACTTGAGCGAGCAGTGATGTTATCCCCGTTCTCAGCTAGACTACCTAAACCAGCTGAACTATTGACACCTACGTGAGCAGATAAAGGACCGGCTGAAGCAGGTACGCTAAAGGTTATTGAAGAAAAGTTGGACTTTTGACGAATCCGCCGAATAGGGCCAACTGATCCTATATCATTATCTAATACCGAATTCCTGCGCTTCAAAACCTGCAAAGAAAAGAAACACATACACAATGATACTCGCTAGATCTTTTAAAAAAGAAAAAAAATCATGAAAGGGAGAAATACAATGATCCTAAATTAGTACCCCATTTCTGCAACCGGAAATTCTGTTTTGCTCCCATGCACTCTGAGAAGATGATGGTCCACCAAAAACATCACTTGCAGTGCCAGAACTCTACAGAATAAGCAAATAACTAGGAATAAGACCAGCGATAAACAAGCAATTACAGATGAGGAAAGATCGCCAAGCATAACAACCTTAAGGGTAATTGCTGAGTTAACCCTGGAACAAGGTGTTCGTGCCATGCTATATATTGCAGACCTGCCTCTCGATCTTGGGGTCACAAAACTGTTTCTAAGACTCCCAACGTGACCAGAAGATCTTGGCATGAGAGACATTGTGGAAGATGTAGAAGGGAAAATTTTATTGCTCTGAAAAGTTAGATCTCCCCTAGACACTTGATTTTGTAATCCAGGCCTTGATACAAATGTTTTTGTTGTCCTACTGCCCATGTAAGCTTTTGCAAGTTCAGCAGGTGCAGAAACAACCTCATCAACAACCTGCAGAACCATTCTTATTGTAATTCTTTTCCTTTCAGTCTATGAAATTAAAATTACAAGGGCTAGTTAAAAGCATTTGAGGGGTATGCTATCCCAAAAGCAAAATGAAGGAAAGAAAGCTTTTAGTTACAGTTGATCTGACAACAGGTGTTGAGACAAAATGGTTTTCAGTCACATTTCCTCTAAATGGGGTCTTTGGAAATTCTTCTTTCTTGTCGTGTGATACCATTGAGATAACGTCAGATCTGAAGAACAATAACATTTTATATCTATAGCATCAAGAAATTCCTGTTGAAAGATATACTACTTGAGTAGAAGGAAACATGCTAACCACCCAAAAAAGGGCCACTGAAGTTTATTCCCACCCAAGATGAACAATGAAAAAAAAGATAGAAAGACATACAAAATCATGTACACATTGATCTGCAAAACAAAGTGATTCCATCCAGTTCATACTCCCAGCCCTTTTTTTCCAATTGATGGAAACTTCCAATTGACAAGATTTGGAAAACATACTCTCAAAAGAAGGTAGCAGAAGTAACCATGCATTTCAATTTGGCATCAATAAGATGCAATTTCAGATCATCTTGCCTGGTAAATGTCTTCTTCTTTAAAATTTCCTCAAGTTCAGCAACTCCACTTTCTTCAGTATTTTTAATAGGACTCCCACAGCCTACAATGGCTCCTTGCACAACAGGAGGAACCTATGTGGAAAAATGTACATAAAACAACAAATCATACAAGTTGGGATCATCATAGAGAAAATCACAAAGGGGACGTTTAAATAAATTCATAAGAAAGTATAAAAAAAAAAAAAGGAATAGACATAAGACTTGAAAGTAACTTCCATAATTAACAATGAATAAAGGAGGCATGAGAATTTAGGACAGTCTGTCCCTAACACTTATCGCATGTGTGCTTATGTTATATTTCTCTAAACAGAAGAGAACATACCAATAAATTGATGTATCTGGTTTCAAATAAATATGATGAGTGCTCAGTGTTTCACTTACGGTGCATAAGTCTAGTGAATGCTTTGGTGAATATTTAAGAAAATGTTACAGAATTAGAAGAAATAGTTTTAATTATTTCAAATAAAATATAGAATAGAACATTTTTCTTTTTCAAACAAAATGAGAAGACAATGCTAAATGGTTCATGATGAAACGACATTCTTAGAAGCCATATGAATACCTCAAGTTCACAAGCACCCCCACCCCACAACCCAAGAAAATATAATAACGCAAAATATAGCAGCGTGTTCATATAATGACTTTAAAACAAAAATGGATCCCAACATGAGTGGCTTAGTAAATGCAATTAGCCTTAACATATGTCAGTTGCCCTTAAGGCGCAAAGTTTGATGACTGCCAGAGACCATAAAACAAAAGAAACACACATCAAGCTATGGTTACAAAAATAAGAACACATATACATACACTGTGATACATATTTAGCATTTTTTTCTTATGTTATCCAACCAAACAAGTGAAAAAGCACATGATGAGCTTAATAAAAATTTAATTTATTAATCATTAAATGCAAACTCCAAATTTCACTATATTTTTGTGCACCTCTCTTTCATCTTTGTTATTTAGTTCAACTTTTCTCTTGATTTCATTTATTTTATTGATAATATTTCAATTTTATTTTCGTCAAACATTCTTGGTTTGCACTACCAATACCAAATATGAAACCAAGAGAAAAAAGGGAATAAAATGTTACAAAAAAACTAAAAGGGATACCAAAAATGGAAATGTTTTAAGCAAGAAAATAAAAACCAAAAAACATAAAAACTAGTTTAAATAATGCGTACTGCTGAAGTCACTTCTGGTTGATTCTCCCTTGGTTCTTCGTTGTTCTCTGATGATATGACATTATCACATTTAATCAAAATCACGAAAAAAAAAAAGAATAAAACTAATTCATGGTAATTTAAGCTTCAAACATGCCTAAAATTAAAAACTCATATACGAACAGAGTTTAATCACCAATTATAATTTACTTAAGGCAGTCCGATTCCTGTGCATTAATTTGAAGAACAATTTCAAGTCATGCATGATTAAGCATATTAGATATATTTCTATCAACAACTCATTAGCATAATTAAAGTACACGTTAATTTCAGAAACAACATTGCATAATCAGGCGCTGGATCAGATTAAATGCATATTACGTTTAAATGAAGCATATATCAGCTAAATGAGAAATATAATATACAATAAAGAGAACCAAATAATTATATAAAGAGTATAATTATTCATATGAAACAACAACAACAACAACAAAACCCAATTCTCATATGCAATGGGGTAAGGGGAGGTAGGGTAGTAGGCTGCCCAACGCCAGGTTGAGAGTAGCTTCCGTGGAAGACGTCCGGCAGTCAGAAAATTAAAAATATAGATAAGATGCAATGCATGTATAAATAAATACATAAATACGTAGTTGTACAGTATTCATCTGCAGTCATTAATATCATTAATGTAATATGAAACAATTTCTTATAATTAAGATTACAAATCGAAATAAGTCTTCCTCGACCAAAAACACGAAATTTTTAAACCAAATTTTGACGAACTACCACCCCAAACCCAATATTAAGAGAAACCAAAGGGAACCTATATCCACCAACAACAACAAAAATCCATGTAATTTTTTTTGGAGGAAGTTTCTCCACGTATTTTAATTTCAGAAACAATAAAATAGAACCGAGGAGAAAACTCACCAGAGTTCAGCAATTGTGGTGTCTGATGCGGAGGAAGGCGTTTCATAAAGACGGAGGCGAAGAGCCTGTGAGCACTGGAAGTAATAAGCCTCCGCGCCGGATCCACCAATTTCGATAACCAACCATTTCTATTGCCAGTACCGCTGGGGTTCCTTATTGAGGTCGGTGGCCTGTCGTATGGCGTAGTTTTCGTTGTCCGTAACTGTCGCTTTCTGAATTTTCCCCCGGCTCCTAATACGCCGTCATATGGGTTACTATCCCCACGCGCCGTCGTCATCAGAGATAAAACAGAAAAGGGGATATGAACGTTAGGATTAGGGATTTTGAGAAAAAATATTGAGAGAAAGGAAAAATTGGTTAATTCGGATTTTTATATAATATTGCATACAGGAAGTATGAAAAATTAATGAAATCAAAAAGAAAAAATAAAAAGAGGAAAGGAAAAATCGATGCTAATTAGTGGTGATTCTCGACCTAAATGTTTCGGGTATCCGATGATCAGGTATCAGATTTTATGGGTACACGTAAATTTACAACAACTAATATTTTGCTAATATGTAAAATGAAAACGTTAGTAAATTTTTATCATAATAAATATCAAGTAAAACTTTAATTAATGAAAATTAACTAAAATTTAATAGCTTATAAAAGTTTGGGACTTATGGCCTATGTGAATTGTTCTTCATACGTGACACTCGAACTTCACTTGTTTCATCAATGATAATTGTTAGTTGTTCCGAAGTTAAATCTTGTATTTCTATATTAAGTATTTAAAGTATGTAATCGTTACAATTATTACGTATATTTTAAAATATAAACATTTAAATATCTAAACATGAAATTAAAAACTAATATTTTTCCATATTTCTCCAATGCTAGCAAGCTCTCCTCTACCATAATAGTATTATGAGAAGCTCGAATCTAATCTTGAGTACAAATAAGAGCTTCCACCAACCTAGGAGTCAAAGAAGTACGGGAAGGAATCAAGCACTCGTTTCCCGTACTAAAAGTGGACTCTGAAGCAACGATAGAAACCAAAATTACAAGTACATCACGTGGCATTATCATAAGAATATGATAGTTCATTGTTTGCATAGACCACCAAGACAAAATATTTAATTCATCCATCTCACGAACACATTTATCCCCTAAATACTTGTCTAGCTTAGTTGTTTCGGAAGTATCAAATAATTCTACTTCATTCACAAAATCCTTTCTCAAATTTGTTCCTTTCAACTTACGAATTCCTTCACCACCATGGGCACTAGACTCCATAGAGCAATAATTCATTTGTGGTGCCTCTGGTTGCGAATAAGCATAAAAACAAACAACAATGTCTTCAGCTTGTTTTTATAGCTTGAAATGAGTTTGAAGTCGTATCTAGCCGTTGGGGATGTTTTAGAGCCGTTGGGGATTAATTTTTTACAAAATAAAATTGCCCATAACAAGTAGTATCAGTACTCCTTCAATGAGTATCAGTACTACCTTTATAATATTTGAATTTTTGACCGTTGGGCTTGATATTACTGTAGCAGTATCGATAATACTGTAGCAACATCGTACCCATTTTGCATTCGATGTTTTTTAGTATCGGTACTATTCATTACTGTCCACACAATATTGATACTATTCATATAGTACTGATACTATTCATACAATACAATACTATTCATAAAAAATTTGTTCTCAATTTCAACTTAAATTTTTCTTTGAATTATTTTTGAAAACTTTGAATAAATTCAATTCAAGTCTAAAAATATTTTGCCATAATTGTTATATCAAAACTTAGTTCAACAATCTCCACCTTTTTGATATAACAAAACATTTGAAAAACAATTTATGACAAAACTCCCCCCTTAATAAAATGTTTAATGAAAAAGATACAAATTGTTGGAAAATATATGAAAATGTTCAACTCCCCTTTTTCATTAAGAAATTTAGTTTTTCAAACCATAACTTCTCCCCTTTTTGTTATATAAAAAATAATTCATCTTTAAAGTTCTAAAATAACTTTGGAGAGTAAGTGATAAATTTGACATTTAAAAAATCATTTGAAAAAAAACCAAAGCTCCCCCCCTCAATAAGTGCATTTCCAAACAAACTTTAACTTTAAAAACTTGACACTTAAACAAAATTTAATTTCAACAAAGAATAACAAACATGTTAGTAGCACATGAAATTCAATATATCCAAGTCTAAAATACTTTATGCAATATTAATTGTTGAAATTAAGTGCATATGCATAAAGTTTTTCTAAAAATGTTATTCATTTGAAAAATTTTGATATCAATTGTTAAAGAGATATCATTTTCATTTAAACCACATGCATAAACATTTAATTTAGGTCAAAAATTTAAAATTTGTAAAATCAAAGTATTTGAAAAGTTGATATCAATTGTTAGAGAGATATCATTTGCATTAAAACCAAATTTGACCAAAATTCCTTATGATGAACTAAAAATTATGAAAAATCATTAAAACATTAAAATGTTCATCATAACATCTTTTTAACATACATTAGATGAAAAACAAAAACATAATCATTTAAGATCAAAACTCATGCATGCATAAATCCAAATGAGCAACCAAATAACCAAAACAAAAGCATTAAGCTTAGAGGTTACCCATTCCTTTTTCAAGTGTGGTTAGAGCATTTGAATATCTTCACTTTCATCACCATTGCTCTCACACACCTACAAGAGACATTTATTTGGATTTTGGTATCCAAATTGCTTTGGATCCTTGGACGTTAGTTTCAATGCCTCTTGTTCCCTTAGGAACCCATACTTGTCTAATTTTAAAATGTTTTCCTTTCTTCAAATGACAAGTATGTTCCTTATGACCATGATAATGGCAATGTGACCATTTTTCCATTTTTAAACATAATAAGTTGTTTTTAGAAATTAATTTTTTTTCTTTTGTTAAGCTTTCAAGCTTAACTTTTAAACCAAAACTTTCTTTTTCTAAATCATTTATTTTGATTTTTGAAAGCTCTAAATCATTTTTCAAAATTTCATTTTGATTTTCAAAATCAACTTTTTCTTTCAAAATCGATTTATTTTCAATTTTGAGTTTTGAAATTAATTTCGTATATTTGGAATTCATGGTCTCAAATCCCAAATACAACTTATTATAAGCATCTTGTAACTTATCAAAAGAATATGAATTAAATTCATTTGAGTTAGAAGATACCTCAGGCTCTTCACGAGCCATTAAAGACACCACCTTTATTGGTTCTTCTTTCTTGTTTCCATGGATTTCCTCAAGCTTATTCCAAAGCTTCTTGGCACTTGAACACGAAGAAATTCCTTCATAGATTTCAGGACCAAATGCACAAAACACCATGTGCATGGCCTTGACATTTTGTTGAGCTTTCTTCAGTTCTTGGTCACTTCACTTCTTCTCCTTCTTCTTTGGAGAAGAGTATCCGCTCTCGATCATCTCTCATGCATCAAAATCATTGGCTTGGATAAATAACTTCATTAATTTCTACCAATGACAGTAGTTGGCTCCATTGAAGTATGGAGGCTTGTCGGTTGGTAGGGAGTCTTCCATGTTGAACGAGCCGGAGGTGGAAGCCATCTTATTGGTTATTTCATAAATTGGTAGATATTCTTCGAGGATTGTCTCAAGGTGGTTAAAACTTCGAACGAGTTAAGCTCTGATGCCAATTGTTGGGATTTACAAAACCTCAAATCGACAACCGAAAGAATTTGCCAAGAGGGGTTGAATTGGTTTTTGTGTTTATGGAGTAAGGAGATTAGAAAGATAGAAAAATTGCATAGCGATTTATAGTGGTTCGACTTCTCAACCAAGTCTACATCCACTACCTTATCTCCTCACCAAAGATTTTCTAACAAATTCACTAATTTGTTTTTTCTTTTTAAGGACAAAGAGATAACCTTTACAACTCCCTAGTTTTTCATGGGCTAAACTAGAACCAATCCCTATCTTTTAACAGGCTCGGCTAGAACCAAAACCCCTTTACAATGAAAGGAAAATGGAAACAAGAAAACCTCTCTAAGGTAGGTGTTTACAAGAATTAAGCTTACAAGAACAAAATATTTACAAGAGAAAGATGAAATAAGATTGAAAAACTCTTCTATTGTGTTTGATTGCTTGGATAATTGTTCTCTTACTTCTTCAAGTTTCATCAGCTTGTTTTTATAGCTTGAAATGAGTTTGAAGTCGTATCTAGTCATTGGGGGATGTTTTGGAGCCGTTGGGGATTAATTTTCTGAATAAAACTGCCCAGAACAAATAGTATCAGTACTTCTTCAATGAGTATCGGTACTACCTTTGTAATATTTGAATTTTTTATCGTTGGGCTTGATTTTACTGTAGCAGTATCGATACTATTATAGTAGTATCGATACCCATTTTGCATTCGATATTTTTTAGTATCGGTACTTTTCATTACTATTCACACAATATCGATACAATTTATACAGTACAATAACATTTGCCCAATACTTATCAAATTTCATCATCATTTGGCGTGTCATGCTCTTAGGCCTAACATTTTAGTCATCAAGATAACGATTAATCGTTTACCCAATGTCAAATATTTCTTCCACAAAATTATTACAAGTCACATACCTTGATCTAGAGAAGTTCAATGCAGCCTCATAAAAGATCTCAAGAAAAGGCAAGAAAGCAGTAACTTTGTCCCAATCCTCATCATCAGGAGGACCACCAATTTTCCTAAGATCTTTGTTGTATGGAACGCACTTTGTTTTCATATTTTTTTTGTCTTTCTAAACACTAAAGCACTCTTGAGCATGCAATAGGTGGAATTCCACCTTGTTTTAATGTCCAAGCAAACAAGAGATTTATATCAGACCCCAATCTAGTAGGCATTTTTCAATGGCTCTACCAATAAGTTCCCCAAAATGACCGATAATTGGACAAAAGTTGATAATCATCTTGTGCAATTTCCAAGTATCATCTATGAAATGGGTAGTAAGACACATATTAAACAAATTCTGACATGATGCCCATATATCTATGGTAAGATATACCCTATAGGACAAATTCTTAAAAATATTCTTCAGCGTCTTCCTTTTTTCAATAAACAAATCATAGCAATCTCTTGTAATACTAGTGCGTGAAGGAGGAATAAAATCAGGAATGACTACCTTGCAGAACATACGAAATCCTTCACTTTCAACAAAGCTAAATGGTAACTCATCAATAATCACCATTTTAGCGAGTGTTGCTATAATATTCTCTTGATCAAAATGCCATAATTTAGCGCTAACTGTCTCTATGGTCCCATCAGCGTTGCACTTTGTTTTGGACTCGAAATCAAAGATTGTTTGTATTTTTTCCAAGTTAAAGGGGGCTTTCTTGCACCGGGTAGTATGACGCTTCATTGCATTAGTTCCA